CCTGTAGAGAGGGGGAGGGGGGACATCGCAGCGTAGTTAACCCCGCACAGTGTGCTAGGCATGTACCGAATACATGGAAAGTGTCGGAAGTGGAGTGAAATAAAGGGCAGTGTTCTCTTTGATTGGTGGAGTTCGAAAGCGAAAGGTTCAGCGACAGGCACAGCGGTATCTCGTTGGTATAATTGATTTGAAAATACTTTTAGCGTGGCGTAAAATGAATGATATGTTAAAATGGGACAGAAACTTAACTGAAAAATAGTTCTCAAAAGCAATGGCTCCCGGTCATTATGACCCATGGGGAGGAAGTACGTCTAGAAATATAGAAATAAGAGCAGGTGTGAGGGGAGGGGTCAGTGGGTATTGACTCTAAATCAGATATAGTATCCATCTTTTTTTCGATTTGAGACTACCAGGTCATTTTAAACGGTTGCCACGCAGCCTGACGTATTGCTACGTGAGTCTGGCTAGGAGTCTGGTTGGGAAATAGTGTAGGAATTTTACGATACACGGCCTCTTTGACACCACCAAATACTGCAAAGGGAAGTGTGTTGACCCAGGAACAGGGTCGGGAAGAAACGAATAAAGTAGGAAGACATGAGCCACACCTTTAGCCAGATAATTTTAAGTAACTGAAACTAAACACTTTCTGTTTTGCTTTTGCAATTCATCTATGGAAGTATTTTAAATGAACCCGAGTGGGCTCGTATACATTGTGCATACGAAAAGAATCTATAACTCCGAATGTATCATATCTAGCTCACTTTATCGAGGTGATGTATTTTAGAAGTGTTTTATGGGCCTTCAAGAAGTTCCTCGCTACACACATACTATAGAAGAGGCAAAGGCGTAGGATGGAATAGGTTTTTCGAGTGCGTCGCAAACTTACTCTGCGTTTCAAATCAATATTCAATGCTGTTTCAAATACCTTTTTTATTTTCAATGCCGTAATAACTTCGTATAGCATACAAGAGACAAATAGTGTCTATAAATGAAGAAAGATCTATAATGTTCAAAGGGCAAGAATTCGGCTTACAGGGAACTGGTATGCCTCAATTTGAATGGACTCACATTCAAAAATATAGTACCATACAATATGTAACATTGAAGTGTAGTGCGAAAATTCAGCACACAAGTATTTCCTTTTTCTAGTTTGAAGACGAAGACGCGGAGAAACGCTTTCTATGCGTTTGAAACTCATCGAGTCATTGCAGAACAAAATTGCAGCACAGTGGATAAGGAAAGAGAAGATGGCGAGGTGACGGATGAAGGTAATTGCTGTTTTTGTACTTAGAGGATCTTTGTATTCGTAGCGCTGTACGTTTTTTAGAAGCATCGGGAACACCTAGACCTAGTTCGCAAACAAGAAAGGAAACGTCATCGTCGTCCAGGTTGAGGAAGACCGGTCATGGTGCGTCTTGAACTATCACTTTTTCTTGCTACTTTTGTGACAAGTCAATCGTGGGTGCTAACATGTTATTCCTTTTCATAATATCACTGCCTGAGTTGATAAACAAGAGGCATCGCGTAGAAAATCCTGCTCTGGTGTCGGCTCATTTTGAATGCGTTTCGATTGTACAATGCGCACTAATCTCACCTTTACCGCGTTTGATATGACGAAAGGCAATATTGCCGATAAATTTCCTAGTGATAACGTCTACAGTGTCAGGGTGGCGGATCACGAGGATTACTGCTTTTTATAAAGGCAGGATAAAAGGATAAAGCATTTGCCGTTGATCAATCCCTTTTGGGGATGCGGCACGCATTCTACTTCCATTTGTACATTCGCAGTGGCATTTGAATGCGATGTGGCCTATACAATGACTTGCGGGGGCCAGCCGATGTTCAAGTCAGTGTTTTTATCCTCCCAGACAAGTCTGGTACCAATTAACCGACCCCGGAGGGATGGAAGGCTTGGTTGGCCCGGGCGACTCACGACCCAGGATTTGATCCCGGACCGCTCGCGTGGTACTTGTCACTACACCACTTCCGCCCAAGAGAGATTATAGGAATAGATTAACACAATTGATGCTTCTAATATTTGCTACTGTTTCTGGATGTATGAGCGCGACATGTAGCCTTCAGATGTGGACCGGAAGAACAGCACATGCGAATGTAATTTTGTCATGAGTGAAGAAGAAGCTGAGCTCAAGGATGATGTGATAATTTTCACAAAGAATGGATATCTCTTTATTAGGCTTAATTCGCGCAAGAGTGACCAATTTTGCGCTGAGTTAGCCTTTTTACGGTTCAAGTACGATGAACGACGAATAGGAGCAGCAAAAGCAAAGTTCGAACAATAACCAGTTTGTTTGTAAAATTGTTCCCTTCCTCTGTCCCGTGCTCGTTGTTTCTTCCCGTACCTTGATTCTTTCTCAACTTCACCAATTATTAGCACTTGAATCCCATTCGCTTTTTCCTTGTTGCCCTTCTCATACTGCACGCTTTGCCTTGTTTGAAGCTCAGGTAATATCAAGAACCAGAGGACTTGAATTGAACATTTTAAGTGACGCGGAAATCTGTACATTCCAACAGAAGAGACGACGCAAGTGATAAAAACAGGAGGCACTCCTCTGAGCGGACGTCCAGCAGAACCGCAGATAATCACAAACGACATTCAACTCAACGTAGCTACCTATGGGAGAAGAAGCCTGGAAAATCGTCGACGCGCGCGTCAATTTCAGGTACTGATCCGATTTCACTTTTGGGTATCCCTCATGCTCTACTCTTATGTTCTAATTCACAAGAAAATTCTTCATCATAGGCTCCGATAACCAGGAACGCAGAGACAGAGGTGCTAGTTCATCATTACGCTCCAGTTCGTCGCATCGCTCAAAAAGGCAACGTGAAGAGACACATGGGAAAACTGATACGCCCAATACGAAACACGTCGTTTCTGAGCTGTCCATCACTCTTCCTTCTTCTCAAATCAGTCAGCTTTCCTTATTTACTAGATTTTCTACTTTTTATGAAAGGATTAATTGAATTTAGGCCCCAATTCCGACTTTGTTATTTCGACGTTGAATGAAAAGAGAAGAAGTTCAATTTCGGAGCGCATCGTGGAAGCGTCATCTTCGCACTCGAGCAGTGAAAATCGACCTTTCAAACGAGTGGTAGATTCGGGTGATCATATTTCTATCACAGTCAATGCACACAGAGGTACTATACGTCTATTTTATTCGCGTTTCTTTTTACAGTAATTGAGCACTCTTTTGTTTAAGTGGACAAGACGAGCGTTCTCTCTCCCAACCGAACTGTCTCTGAGGGAACTCGACCAACCGGAAACAAAGTCTCTTTGGGCTCAGCGAGGTAGCTAGGATTCTTATTGTGTCTTAGCGTTTCTTGGACACCGTTTTGCCTGTGACACATGTGTAGTAGTGGCGCAGGCATATTGCTAATTTGTTCCGCATATTCAATGTCATGTGGTGTGAATTTGCTAGGGCTGATAAAATGCAGGAATCAATCCAGACAGAATTGATTACGTTTGTATTTTCGTTATACTTTTCAAGAACTGCTCATTTTTTCAGCTCTCCACGTTCATCAATCTCTGCTACAGTTATGAATAATCGATTATCAAATGACTTTGATAATCTTCTTCCTCATATACCACTCCCGCCAACGCCCACACCGTTTCGTTCTCAAACACTTGTAAGTCTCTTTCTTCTGCCTGCTGCATTTTATTATCACGTGTAGATCTCTTTCTGCTTTCCAGTCACCAGTGAACGACAAGGATTTCATGCTGTTACCTCCTCCACCGGCGCCTCCTATTCTCCCCGTGAGTACAAAGCATTTATCTCGCTCATTGTGCAGTACGCAGATCTTGGTAATGCGTAGTGTGTACAGTGGCAGGACCTGGGTAAGGCCGATGTCATAGTTTGCGAATCGAACGTTGCACCAGCGAATCGAACTTTGCGCCAGCGAGTCGAACGATGTACCAGCGAGTCGAACGAGGTACCAGCGAGTCAACGTCCCCAGGAAAGCCGCCCCCTTCA